TACCACATATAAACTTTAAGGCAAATTTTGGACGAACAATGAATTACATGTTAATTAAAATAAATTAAACATTTTAATAATCACGAAGGATGGTGTACATCACTATTCTGAATGTTATGTGGAAAAACTATTCTGTCTTATCACGGGCTGCCGCTGATATAAAAACAGAACTTGGTAGATTTAAGGCACTGGTTAAACGTTCCGTTCGGCAACGTAAGTACTGTATCAGTAAATTCGTGGTCAAACTTATTACCATGGGCGTCCGCAGAAAAAAATGCAGGGGGGGTGCAATGTTATCCTGAATTCGACGTGTGAAGTGTGAAGACATCATTGACAATTTCGGAAGAGATCCCCGACGGCTCCAATTCCTGTTCCAAGAGTAGTAACCTGCTCTAACTGAATGAACTGTTGAGAAATGCTTATGTTATCTTATTCATTTTGTATTTTCCATGTAATTTTTTCAAATTTTTTATTTTCCAGGGGGGGAGGGGCAAATGCCCCCCCTTGCCCCTCCCTGCCGACGCCCATGCTTATTACTTACCTTCTTTACTGACTCGGTTATAGAATTTCCGTTACACGTACTGTATACCTCATTACTCAAATCAGTGTTCTGAGCATTATATTGGTGGGTAATTAGTTGTTAGTTTATTTTTGACAGATAGTGTAACCAATACAAAATATAGTTACAATGTAAGTTCCCGATTTTCCTGGGTGAAATGCCTTTTACACCCCCCCCCCTGCCCTCCGCCGTTTTTTTGTGAATGAGTCACCTTGCAGTGGACTTCTCCCCTACAACTGCCTACAACTGCGTAGCAGCTCACCACCTGCTATCGCATTCCAATGTGCCGCCTTCCCTAGCAACCAACCAGATGTTACCGTATCTTAGCAACGAAACTATTCACCGGCTACTTCTCGGGTTTTCCCACCATGACTCATGGCGGCTGCTGCGGGGTATATAAGCTCTGTCTCTCCCTTGAGATTAACTAACACCAAAAAAAAAAATTTCTGTGGTTACACAAGGACCTGGGCGGGCTCACTAACTCAACAATAACAAAAATAATAATAATAAGCAGCATTATATAAATAAACCAATATTAATACAAAGGTCTGACGACCCAAGGGAGCAGAACAAAGACAAAACACCAATAAGAAAGATGAAGCGATCTGGTTGAGCCCAGATTCTTTCTACTCCTACTGTATTTCAGTTTCACCACTTTTTCTTCAATTCCTAATAATCTTCTTTCACCTCTTAACTAATGACTTCGTATCGTATCGTATCGAGATTCAGTCTGACCAATCTTCTTGAACAAGCAACACCTCCTCCTCTGCCGCTGCCTGGCGACCCTCGCCTCTCCTCCGCCTGCCTGGCGGTCCTCGCTCCCGCCAGCGAGCATGTCCTTCTCTGAGCTTCCTCACCAACCAACTCTCATTCTGGCCCATCTTCCTGAACACGCAACACCACCTCCAGCAAGCTCCACGCTGTTTACATTTCATTCAACCAGGAGGCCAGCAACAGGCAACATCTTCTCTAACGAAGCTCCTGCACATCTACCTCCTTCAACACGATACTCACCGCACGTCTCTACCAAGCAGCCCCTCACCACACAGCACCTCCAGCACCAGACTGTCTATCATATAACTTATATATTATACAAGAAAACCACATTAGAGTTTCCTTCCATCCTGAGTGCTAGACAACATTAATCTCTCAATACCCCTACAACCTCCTCTGTCCTATCCTGTACTTACTTGTCCCCTAGCTATAGTTTTACAGAATCATATTTCTACCACGTTAACACCTTTTTCTTTTTCTTAGTTACCATGGTGACAGAGGTAACCACCATGTAATTGTTCGCTACACATCCTTGTATATCATGTACATCTGTGTACATCTTATATTTGTATTAAATAAATAATTTTTGTTTATTCTTGATGATTGGTGCGATCTCATGTTTACTGTGCCTGAATTATGAAACATTGTGTAACGTTAAATAGCCATGTGGACACTGTGCTCGCCTCCAATCCTTTGGCTCGCTGGTTTGATTTCGAGGGATAATGGGATTCCTAGTCCAGTCATCAATTCAATTCAATTTAAATATTTTATTCCTTGATAGAGGAAGCGGGATCCTAGTGCTGTCACTAGGTACCCCTGTACAATAACACCAGAAGCATCTGGCAAGTGTCACAAGTATATATAAATATTATAAAGGGGCTTACTAAAGCCTAAGGAATGAAGAATATTCCTTTAACACATCATCAACATTATTTACATAATATCTGGCCAGTATGGGGAGGATCATCGTGTCTCCGTCAGGGGGTCGTGGAGTGGTGGTCCAGCAGGCGTTGTGTGTGGGGACATCTTAGGAAGTAGTCGGGTCTTCTGCATAATGCACAAGCGCGTTGCTCAGGGGAGGCGGGGATATACCGATCTCCCAAGCGAAGCCATACCCGATGATGATACGGGCAGCAATCACGACCCTTTCCCATAGACATACGAGAGGTCAGGGAGTTTACGGAGGACATCGTACCAGGTGGGCGGGGAGTCCAGGGGGATGGTTGCTTCCCGAACGTCTCTCTGTTTGCGGTGAATTTCCATTCATCTGTTAATGGGTATCTAACTTTGCAGAAGGGGAAGTGAGGGTGGCCGGATACACTGCTGGCCTTGTTGCCTCCTTGCGTACCGAAACCTTAATATTGTATACATTTTAATTCGTTATGTAACATGCGTAATATGAATAGACGACACTGGCGTTTATAACGATTGAGTGGCGGTCTCTTGAAAACCTAATACTGCATAATAGGATGCAGAGAGACAAAAAGAAATTATGAGTGTGACTTGACAATAAGGGACGTCTATCCACCAAAAATAAAATTATACTACATAAATAATTTTTTTTTAATCTAGTCCATGCCTACCCCTCCTTGACTTGGCAGAGGAAAACGAAAATATAATAAGGATATTCCTGTTTATTTGTGCTATTCATCTAATTCATATTAATTTTTATGTTCATTAGTTTTAGTTAAATTACAACAGCATGATTATCATGACACGAGACAACCAGCTGCATTTGGTCATCATGTACCCCTCTGGAAAATCTGTGGCATACACATGGGGAAGTATGCGTATCCAGGGTCGAAAAAAAGGCATGCAGCTAGTGATTTGTATTAAAAATCTGGAGAAGTCTCTTGAGGTAAGACAGACGAAAACCTACGTACATGTATTTACACTGTAAATTCAAATAATTTCATGACTGTAAAATTTCTTTGAGGATCAAATTTAGTTACAATAAATAATATCGAATTTTCAGAGAAACATAAATTTTAGCCCATGAGAGCCCACTTCTTATCGGTATAAATTTACTGTGGATTCCATCTCCAAGTTAATTGGATATGCAATGATACTGTCGACTGGGAATGTCTGTGGTCTTGTTCTGCCCGTTGCTAAGATGCAGACCTATTGGGATAGTTGGGCTTTGGCAAGTCTGAGAGGCAAAGGATGTTTACCTTCCTGCAAATTCTGCAGTAGTCCTATAGCAAATGCCCTTCACCTCTGTTGCCGCGATTGTTTTTTCAGTAAAAAAACCTACCACAGTGAATCTTTACACGTCTACTGTATCACTATCTGCTTATATCCGATAATTTGGGTTTATTTCTAGTATGCTACCCACACTTAGGTTGGTGATCATTAAAATTGTTTTAAAGCCGTCGAACATTTTACTTGAGTGGTCTAAGACTAGGTTTATCGCTCACGGTATGTCATGTTGATGATATAATTTAATACTGTGCTTGCTGTTCAACAACTGCTTGCATTTTAGGTTAGTTAGTGCTTTATTCATCAACATTTAAATCTCAAGTGAGGTAAGTGTCCAGTGAATCTGAAAAAAAAATCAGCCAATGTTTGTTCAACTATAAAATTGTAAATTAAATGCAGAAGACGTAATGTAAAATCTGAGAAAGTGTACCAGAAGGCAACAAACACCTTATTCATGAGACAAATTATATATTTTTAATCGGGACGAATATTTTATGTAACAACATGGGAAGCGGACGTTAAATCAGGGAATACTGCAAGATTTTAGGAAGGGATTTTCAGGTGGCAAGTTGTGACAGTATTACAAATTTTATATAGTAAAAATTAAAGTAGATTCTCTGTTAAAGACATAAAGCAAGTTACAAAATAAATTCTCAAAGCACTTATACATTGAACTTGCACAAATTATAATTAAAAACTCCTTCAGGGTGATGTCAGCATGACACCCCCCACCACGTTAGGTTTATCCAGTGACTCATGAGACTAAGCTTAAAGTTTAAATAGAGATATCATTACATCCATCCTATCATACTAAACATCAACTTACACGGCACCTTTAATTAAATCTACGAACGTTCTAAGAACAACGAATAACTAGAAAGTATGGAGAATCCGGTAGTTGGCAACAGTGGGTATGCAGTGTTGCCATATAAGGTGAGGATGAGGGGTGGGGTAAGCCTCTCCCATGGCCCAGTCTAAGTACGGAGTCTGGCATCGTTATGGGAAAGTCTTGACAATCTCTTTAAGGGTCTATAATTGTCTGAACTTACATCACCTTAAATTTGATAAGGTACATTGGATTCTATTCCCAAACAGACATTTACAGTAGATTATCACTTCATATAATTTTAGTCCAACAGCCTACACTTGGCACGGGGACCTTCAGCTGGTTTACAGATTGGAATGCGGTGAGGCTGTCCTCGATTTGCCTTTAGTGGGTCAGGCTGTTTAATAGCAACTACACATCAACATCTGAGGTAGGTAAACGATTATCAGCTTCTAATATACAGGCAAGTTTTGATTCCACAAGTCCAGTAATAATTGTTGGCGCGTTTCACTCGGTAAGATTAAAATGTTAACATTTCATGCAACAACTTTTTTTTGTAACTCATTGTAAGTAATGTAAACAGTAAGTTATACCAAATTTCAAATATATTTAATTGAAGGTTGGATACATAAAATGCACTGATACAAAATAAATGTTTTATTCAACTTACACCAACAAAAGTGATATAAGCAATTGATTCTTTGGTGTCATGTTATAATTATGATGTATAAAACAACTCGAAATCCTGCCTCATTCAAGCACTATGATTATTTACATATGTAACTTAAGGTATCTGCAGTATGACTGGATGATGAATAATTAAATGAAAATTGGCTAAGCAAACATATCACTAAACTCAAAAATATTCACTCTTGGTACAAGAGCTAGTAATACAGTGCCTAAGGTAATCATGATCACATACAGTATGCTTAAAACTAATATATACAATAAATAAGTTTAACAATATAAACCATTTTGGGACATTCAGTGGGTTGCGCCTCTTGCCCTTATGACATCACGTTCAACGGATGAAGGCGCCTAACTCCAGGAGATGACGTCATCCTACAGGTATCGCAGGCAGCCCACACCACTCACTACTGCTGAACATGCACACTTCACCTCACTTGACGTTTTCTACCAAACATTGAAACATACACAAAAGTTAGCTTAAGCAGATGTGACATTCAGAAAAATAAAATAAATGTTTGTATAAAGGCACATGGCAAGCATGACGCTCTTATAACTTAGCCTTCACTCCTTGTGGAATAATAATTCAACAGAGGTATCGGTCATTTAGTGTAAATCTCTGCTGCTTCCAAGTTTTTAACTGTGAATTCCTTTTGTGAAGAAAGTTTTGACAGCAACTTCCTTTCAAGTAGTCACTGCATTACAATTTCATTAAATGTATTAAACAACGTTCACTGCCTTATCACTTACAATGGGAGAACTTCCGATAGAATCTCCTTAGCACTTTCTGACAGGCTGGATGGGAACTGAATATCGAAGTGGACAATGATGTCTCCCTTCCTGGTAGGATCCTTGGGGTAAGGTAGGCCATATCCCTGTAGACGTTTTGTAGTCTGGGGTCGTACTACCTCGTTGCTGAAGTTTAGTGTAACCCTCTGACTGTCCAGAGTAGGCACAGTTACACGGGCACCACACAGTGCGTCGCGGAGAGTCAGTTTAGCTGTATACTGGAGGTTGGCACCGTCGCGTTTGAAGTGAGGGTGTGGTTTATCTCTAATAACAAAGATAATATCTGCAGGAATTTTTCCTGGTGACTGGTCGCCCTCACGTTCAAAAGTGATCTTAGTGCCTTCCTTCCACCCCGGCTTCACATCGATGGTCAGGATCTTTTCTTCCCGCCGTGTTGTTCGGCCATCACTCGCTAACACACTACGTGTAATTTTCATCTTCTTAGTGACACCTTTCGCAACTTCTTCCAATGTTACATAGAGGTCCCTGGTAACAGCTGGGTCCTGGTTACGATTCTTGCCTCCCTGTGGCCTGGTAGCATCGTGTGGGTTAAAGCTGAAGGCTCGTCGTGTGCCGCCACCCATACGTGGACCTCCAACACCACCACCCATCATGGTAATGAATGGATCATCTTCCACATCCATTTCTTCAAACACACCATGCGGTCCATGACCATCCACACCCATGTTAAAGAAATTAGCAAAGGGGTCATTGGTGCCGAAAAATTGCTGGAAGGTGGCTCGCGGGTCACCAGAGAATGTGTAAGTGAAGTGAGTGCCATCACTACCACCACCACCCGGTACACCTCCCTTCAGGCCTTCCTCACCGTACTGATCGTATATGTCCCGCTTCTTCTTATCACTCAGCACCTCGTACGCTTCAGCTACAGATTTAAACTTCTCCTCAGCATCAGCAGACTTGTTTTTGTCGGGGTGATACTTAAGGGCCATTTTCCTGTAGGCCTTCTTGATGTCTTCATCGGAGGCGCCCTTGGACAGCCCGAGGATCTTGTAATAATCCTTGCCCATGTTGGCTTTGTGAGAAGTATTATGATTCAGTGGTAATGGAATACCAATGAAGCAACAGGTCTTGCCGTACTTGTATCAACCTCCTCTTGCTATGTCTAGCTTACTACTGAGCCTTGCGGGAGAGAGGCTGCCAAGATATACACTGCCTACGTCGTGGTCCTGAACGAACTGGAGCTACTAGAATGTTTGAGAATGTTCGTTCACATTCCAGCAATGAAAATATTTTTCTAAATATATAATAATTATACTAATTATTTTTTGTTTGTTAAGGATTAGTAAGCAAACAATATTTAATTATAATGTGGATTTTAATAACCGCATATTTGTTGTTGTAAATCTAATGAAAAAATTTTTTAAAACACCAAAATTTACCCTTGTTTTATCTAGAATGTTTGTCTCTGGGTGTGGGCGGAGCTTAAAGCACTCAGCGCTTCGACTGGCTACAGAGATAGCGGGCCTTTTAAACTAGATTGATGTATTGAATCAGTTTTAAGAACAGTAAATTCGTATAATATTTTCTAAAGATTGCTATGCAGTTTTTCTTCAAATATCACAATATACTTACAGTCCAATAACATATATTCACTTCCCAAAGTGAAAGTAGAGAAATGGGAACAATCCCAGTCTTTTAATCTGTCATTTTACTTTTACTGTACTTTGCTTTATCCTATTCGCCGCTGATCGGCTTGTTAGCCACTTGGGCGATCGCCGATCAGTCACATCACTGTTACACACTTTTAGTAAGCACTGGGCATACACTGACTCCAGAATGTATCCGAACCTGTGCCAGTGATGTTAATCTTGTCTTGAATGAGCTTACGCTCGGTGCCGCCACAACACTATATGACAGATTTTTCCAAAAGTTCACAACTCTGAGCTGTCACCCCAAAACAGTTTGCCCTGAACAATGTAGCTTCTTCAACCTTAAGTCCTTAAGCTGCGACCCGTAGTGGGGCGGACGTCCTCTAGTTCCAAGGATGAACACTCGACTGAGTAATATCCTATGAGGTACTTATATAGACCTTTAATAAGTCACCCCTTGCCCGTCATGTGTAAACTAGGCGATTATAGACGTTTAAGTTTATTTGCTAGATTGGCATGTCGGAAGAAAATAAACTATATAGTTTGATTAATGAAGTTCAGAACTTCACATTTAGAGAAAAGCTGCTATATATATGAGAGAGATACAAGAGTATATAGTATATATATTGATATTGATTATAAAGATTCGATATAGCTATTGATGAGTGTTGCGCATCAAGGATTAGTCCTTATTGCTCAAGAAATACTCTACACAGTGCATTCCTTGGTATAGGTAATGCAAACTAAGGACTAATCCTTGATGCGCAACACTCATCAAAAGCTTCTCGAACGCTATAGACACTATGCAATCTAAAAATGAAAGGAAGAATCTGGAACCATTCCGAAATGACAAGCCCCATTCTGTTCATTCTCACATCAATCGTACCCAAGTGTTCGAGAAGTTTTTTTTGGGAGTGTACATTGGAAATTGTATACTCGCTTTCCCTAATTATGTACTGAACCATTTGTAAACTTGTATGACGATTTTATTGACTATCTATCTGTGAGTGTAAAGAAAATGTCGTTAATAAAATTATCGTATCTGTATCCATCAAGCACCAGACATCGCTTGAATGGAGTTTATAAAATTAAGATCAAATGTCGTTTCTACGTTGGCTTAAGTGTGCCTTAAAAATATGCTTCGATTTTTTTTAATGTGGTTATGATAAATTCACCACATGAAATGTGATTAGGGACTAGTATTCTGATGTGGTAGCATTAATGCGATGCAAGCCTGTGGTAATATCTACCTGTAATTCATATCCTACAAAACAGTTTTGTATGCCATAAAAATAACCTCCTTTGTCCTTGGCCTTGTTTTTTGGTTCCGTCTCTCACATTTACTGGCCTTGAATATTTATGAAGTCAAAGGTACCATATATTCTTAGAACAACGAACTTTTCAATATTAATTAGATAAGTTCATATCTGAGCGTGTGGTAAGTGTTGATTGATTTATAATATTTTCAACTGCGCAACAGTCTAGTCAATGACAGGTCCAGCGCTTGGGGCATCATCTGTTCTGCGCGATCAATTGAAGTTCTATATTTACGTAACCTAAATAGTTTTTGTAATATTACAAAAAATATATCATAATAATGCATAAATCCACTTTATAATATATACTGTAGGTTTACATATACTATTGACTAATATAATCGATATGGTGTTGATAAAATAGTTTATCTGTCATTCGGAGACGTGGCAACGTAGCGATAGTTAGTAAACATGTCGACACAGACACAATGGCACTGGAACCTGCTGCCTAGTGTAATTTTAATCGAAATTCTTTCTTATCTTCCACTGTCCGATAGAATAAATGCATGTTCTACGTGTAAGGCATGGCGTTCTGCCCTCTTCCACCCAAGTTTTTGGCGGAAAATAGTGTTGGTGTTTAAATCTTGCGATTGGAGCGGGCTGGAGCGGTCCCGCTTTGTGGCCTCCTGGGGAGTCAGGAAACTACGATCCTGTATCCTCCATCTGGAAACTGTTAACACAAATTGCCTGGTTGAAGCTGACCATGTTCTTCTTAAGCTTACCAGAAACCCACAGGTTAGTATAAGTAAAGTCAGAGTTCCTTTTGTTATGTGTCAGATTTATCTGTGAGAGTTAAGAGAACTGAACTTGATGCTGTGTGCATGGATTTCAGTGAAATTTATTGAATATTGGTTTGATTTGATGGTGCATACTTATGAAATCATAAAACTATAAGACAATGCAGTAATTTTTTAGCTTAATGTCACCATTTCAATTGTTTCAAAGCCACGGTTTTTCTCTGGGAAGGTCTTTGCTGGTTTGAAATGTAGTTCTGGCTTGCAGCCTTTCTAATTGTCTATCTTTCAGCAGTTTCACAGGTATCTGTTTTATTGCATTGAATGCAAATTTAGTCATGAGTAAAGAAAACATAGCATTTGGTTGCAGTTCTTTGTTCTGAGGTTCAGCCTGTACAGCACTGATATCCTACTAGTACAGGATGAGAAAGGAGTGCAAATGGAAAACCTGCAGTGTTCAGTAGGGCTAAACTGGCCAACACATTTCTCACATCTGATGTAAATCCGTGTTGAACCTGAGTCACTGGTGGGTAAATTTTTACTTTAGGACATAAGTCCCTAGGGGTTGACCAAATATTTTTCCAGTGTATTTTGGTGTGTTTAAATCTGACCTTCATTTTTGGCAGAAATTGCTTATTCCCCCCCCCTCCTCTCATTAATAATGGGGAGAGCCTGGGAAATCGGGGTCTTTGAGTGGGGGAGAAAACGAAAACGAGTCATCTGACCTAAAAAAACCTAACCTAACTCCTAGCCGGCCCCCGGACCTGGTAGGCCTAACCTGACCCCTAGCTGGGGGCGGTAGGCCAAGCTTAAACTAACCTAAATGTTCCAGTCGTTAAAAACTTTGGGGTGCACCATGACCAAAAGTACAATACCTTAGTTAGAAGTGGAAGGACCAGGGATACATAAGAATTGGATAGAATGATTTTGTCTTTCTCGTAAAACTCCGCAATAAACTTAAAATAATTGTAGGAGCACAAACGACAACCAACCTCCACCACGGCTATTGTGAGACGTCAATGAAATTACCCAGGCTGCTTCCTTTGAAAAAAAATTAAATGATTGTTCGAAAAAAATTTGCATGAAGAAATCGATACCTTATTGGTCATGACTGGATGATGTCAGTCAATATTGCGCATGCGTGATGCGTCAATAACATCATCTCACAGACGAAGACTGAAAACTACTTAAAATAAATTAAATTCAATTGTGTCGCTATTATCCTTTTCCGCCAGGTTTATTTGGGATTCAAAATGTTCAGAATAGGGAGATATAAATGTTTCAGTAGTTTATAAGTTTCGGGGGCACTATGTCCGAAAGCAAAATAATACCCACTGGTGATAGGCAAGTGTGTTATTGCTGTATTACTGAAACCCTCCTAAATTAAAGGCCATTATGGGTTTTTAATCTAATTATCTTGAATATGCAAATTAAAACGAAATTGTTCAGTAGCTTATCATTAATATTGAATATAAAGTATTATATTGGCGGAAAGCACCGTTAGCTTCAGAAAAAATGATGGAATTGAACCAAAATTTGTGGAGAGACTAATATCATGATTCTGAACACAAAAGTGGAAGTGAGAATGCACAGAACCTTGCCTCACCTTAGCTTAACTAATTAACAGTTGAAATAACAGTTTAACTTAACTTAATTGAAAATTTGGCAAATTAATTGATTAACTTCGATTAATTATCAATTAACTCCTTAGAAAAAATAACAAATAATATATAACACACCAGCTCTTGCACCCAGTGAGTATCCATACTGTTGACTTTCCTGTACAGTCTCTCCTCGACTTACGACAGGGTTCCGTCCCGACGACCAGGCCGTAAGTCGAAAAGGCGAAAATAATACATAGAAATTCTAAAATGGGTGTCTCTTTTTATTCTCAGCACCACGATAACTCTCACTTTTATGCTTGCCAGCCATTTTAATGGTAATTACAAACGACAATTTTGTCAGTACACAGCGCGATTACTAACGTCGGGACTCGAAAATACGTAATGTGAAAAATATTTTATACGACCATGGCCGTCGTATGTCCGGGTTGTCGTAAGTCGAGGAGAGACTGTATAGTACACGAAACGTTCGTAACCTGAATGGAGAGAGTGAGGCTGCCTTGTCTGCTGCCTCTCGGTTACTCAGTTGTCATTGCAGTGCCCATGTGATAAACCCGCTCAAAGGGCGAGGTGTATATTATAATACTTTTTGCAAGTTGAAAAGTCTTGAAAGTTAAAAAATGAGACAAACAGTTTCGTTTACACAATATGGAAATGAACATAATGAGGTTATCATGGTGTTTGTAAAAAAAAAAGATGCAATTGTTATGAACGGTGTTGTGGTAATTTGGTGAACCATAATTTGAGTACAGTACAGGGTATCTGACTTGAACTTGGCAGTTAGCATTGAAAAAGTTTGTGTTTAAACTTTCAGAGATTATTATTTATTAGATAGGCAGAATTCTTATCTTTTCATGATATCATTTTTCCAAGTAAGAAAGTTTAACTTGATTTTGCATACTGAAATAATAAAATTATTTACGTGTGAAAAACTGTTGAGAAAAAAATAAAAAAGTCTAAGAATTTATAATTATTTTATCTCAAGATTTATTCATACCAAGGAAATAGTGTGCCAGACTGCCTGATTCAGTTTGGCTATTCAGGTATTCAAACTAAAGTATTCATTGACTCTTCTGGAAAACATTTACAGGATATTAAGTTATTTAATCCACATGAAAGTTTCCCTAAGCAAATTTGACACAGATTGGTTGACTTAACTTAATTGAAAAATCTTAACTTAATTAGTTAATGTTAAAAAAATCAGGTTAACTTAACTGGAAAAAAATGAAAATTAACTTAACCAGTAGTTGAAACTTAATTGCCCCATGCCTGGTGTGCACACAGATCTGCAGAAAATATTATGTTTGTTAACACAGAATATTTAAGGACAAAGGCCTGGGTTAACCAACCACCTAAGGAAAAATATTTATAGAAAACTTTTTACTTACTTTCTTATTCAGTTTTTTGTTCTTAGTTTTTCTCTTTGTAAAGAAATACACCTGCTTGAATCTGCCATCATTATTAACATGGTCATGATTTACTTATAATTGTAAGCCTCGATCAGAGTAGAACATTCTAGAATCTCCCAGGCGTCTCTGGGTTATTCTAGGATATTCGAGAAGCGTCTGACGAGGCGTATATAAGCTGGCGCAGGCTTCCTAGGGGCAGTTGTCCTAGTGTAAAGACTAAACCAAGCAGAACAATCGAAGACAATTGTTGTGCAAGTATTGTGGAATTGTTGTACTTAATATAAAGTGAGAAGAGTGTCGTTTGAGATCAAACACCTTCAGTAATCAAGGCTATTCAACTCATAAATCCATATACATCTGCAACAGAACAAAATAAAACCCAATTAAAACAAGAGAACATTTAGAGTAAAAGTAAACAAAAACATAATTTATTCCCTAATATGACATTTACCCCTGCCAACATAATCAATCAAACATCATAGCCGTACCGCTGGGGTTCTCTTCGCTGCCGAGTAGAATGGCGAAGAGGTAACTCCTGCATGATACTAGGATTCAGCAATGTCGTCCCGGTATCTCCCTCTGCAGCAAGTCCCTCACCATCATCCAATGTTTCTGGCTCCACTGAAGGCGAGGTTGATCCGGCAGAGATGTCTGAGGATGAAGTTCCACCGGGGCATGGAACAAGATCATGGAGGGAAACTGAAGATTCACATCCATCTGGATACTTTATGTGCGCATACGTTGGGTTAGCCTCGAAGAGCTCCACCTCATCAACGAGAGGGTCACCTTTGCTTGAGCGAACGGATCGGCGTAAGAAGACAGGACCTGGAGTCGTTAGCCATGTTGGCAGGGATATACCCTGACGAGATCGTCTTGGAAAGTTGAAAAACCTCTCCTGTGGAGTCACGTTGATGGCTGTTGAGAGCAATGATCTAATGGAGTGAAGTGCTTCGGGTAGGAGAGCCTCCCATTCAGTATCCGGAACATCTTGAGATTTGGCAGCTAAACATATGGACTTCCAGATTATACCATTGTACCGTTCTATTTGACTGTTTCCTGTTGGGTGGTTAGGTGTAGTTTTACTGGACGCCACTCCTCGACTAGCGAGATGAGTTTTCACTTCACGAGACATAAATGCACTTCCTCGATCAGAGTGGACTAAACTCGCCATACCACAAAGCGAGAAGATGGTGTCCAGACATATGATGACAGTTGAGGATGTCATGTCAGCACATGGAATAGCAAAGGGAAATCTGGAATATTCATCCACAGCAGTGAAGAGATATAAGTTTCTCGTGCGTGATGGAAGAGGACCTTTGAAGTCATTGGTTGAGTAGCTTTAATAAGGGTATTTTCAGGAGGCCTGTGAAATGTTGGCTTGATTTCAGCTCACACATGACAAGTTGAACAGACCTTTTTCACATCCTCCGTAGAATGGGAGGTTCTTAGTCCTGACGAAATGAAGCATTCTGACAATCCCCAGGTGGCAGAGCCCTTCCTGGATGACAGCAAGGTTTGACGACAAGATGGTTCCGCAGAGCGCTCAGGTGAAAGTGTCAGGAGCAGTGTTGTCTTTACCTGGACAATACCAAATGGAATAGCTGAAACAAGCTAGTTCGAGCCGCCACCGTTGTATCTTGTCATTTTTTACTTTAGTCCTCCTACGACTGTCCAGCATAAATGCAACTGATCGCTGGTCAGTAACAATGGTGAAGTGCCGTCCCAACAACAGACCACTTTCTCACCGCTTCAATTATTGCAGTCGCCTCCTTCTCAACAGGAGGATAGTGAATCTCACTGCCAGATAACACCCGAGACATGAAGGCAACTGGCCGACCAGCTTGATTTAAAGTAGCAGACACGGCCACATCCGACGCATCACACTCCACAACAAATGGGATGGCATGGTCAATGCTATTTAGGGCAGTTTCTTCAAATCTTCAAAAGCTGTGAGCGCTTCACGGTCCAGA